GCACGAGCATCGTCCGAGGGGAGAGCACAGGATGTAATGGTGATATGCATATACCAGTATGGACCAAAAGAGAGCGGAATATAGCGGATGAATATATAATACTGGCGACTGGACTTCATGCTTCACGCCTTCGGCTTAGAGAACCACGCCTCCGTCTTCCGACCGTGCGACAGCAACTTATTCTCCTCCAGAGTTTCTTGAATCCTCTTAGAGGAGCACAAGTTGTATTTTCTTTGCCGATAGGAGCCGCACCTCCAAAGACGTGGTGCTCCTCCCACAAGCCTGTCACTGCTGCTGTTGTAGAAGCTGCAGCCGCAGCGGCCGCGGCAGCAGCAGCAGTTGTCGCTGAACTACGACGACGTGCACCGGCGAGGGAGATTGGTGGGGGGAGTGCCTGCAGGTCCGTGATCGTGAAGCCGAGGGTCGACGCTGGACTGTTGGGCAGCGGAAGAGAAGGGCGTTGCGAAGGCGGAGGAGAAAACTTGGGAGAAGTGACAGAGGCTTTTCGTGCCCGCTTGTGAGAGGGAACGGGCACGCTGGCTCGACGGCTATTGCTTGAAAAGGCAAAGAACGAGACGGAGCCGACCTGGCTCATGGCAGAGAATCTACGTGGAATGGAGAATCGGTTTGAAGTAGGTGATCGCTTGGGTACAGACGGGAACACGAAGGGGTTCACAGCATCACTATCACCCGTGTAGGTGAAGCCACCGTCCGTGAACGACGAGGACGGGACCATACTCACCGATCGCGAGAACGGGTTGTACATGCCCTGCATTGTAAAGTGCTTGGTCGTGGGTGATGGCTTAGCAGAGTGTTCTCTGCTATAGGTGGGATAAAGTGCTGTACTATGGTTGTTGGTGCTGGACGGAGAGAAAGGATTGGTATTGGAGAAAATGTGATGGGATGTGTGCTTGGAACGAGACAGCGAGAGAGCAGATGGGACTTTGAAGATCCTCCCTGTCGAAAAGCTGCGGCCAGTATCACGGGGTGTGATGTTGGTTGAGTCGGCAGCAAGACGCCAGGCTACCACTCGCTCTGCATTTGCCTTCTTCAACTGGGCAAAATACCGCATATCGGAATCTTTCTCCAACCTAAACAGATATACAGGTCAGTTCAATGTAAAAGTCGGGGAGAATCGTGGCTTACGTTCTCAACATCTTTAGCTCTTCAAAGAATAGCCTGGGATCCGTGAGAGTTTGGGTCTCATCTTCCGGGTCCGCACACATGGACAGGTCGGTCCAAATTCGGACATGAATAGAGCATTGTCGCTTGAGGGGTTTATTGACACCCAATCCTCCAGCAAGGTCAAACTGACCCAATGGCATGGCAATGATCTCGCGCTCTGCCGACTCTTTCGAACTCGCGTCGCTTTTCGCATCTATTTCCCCATCATTCCCTTCGGGAAACACGCTCGTAGCTTCGGTAGAAAGCGACATGGCTCGTTGGCGATAGTCTCGTCCACCTCCAAGCATCATCGAGGAGGTCGGGTCCGAATCGGTGGGAGACTTGGGTGAGTAGCCTTCCTTGTCCTTCTTGTCGGATTGTAGCGGATCCACCAACTTTTTCGAAGAGAGACAATCCTCTTCGGGGCTAGGAGAATTGGGGGGCGGGGGCGAGCGGGCTGGTGAGCGGACCCCTTTCCATGCAGAAGGCCCATTACCGGGAGAAGGGACTGGATCCTTGATATCTTGATGTTCTTTACGGGACGGTGAACGAGTACTGACACCGCTCTTGCCGGTTCCACGTCGCTGCAGCGGGGATTTCGCCCGGAAGCGAGTCGACGAGGCCGAAGGACTTCGTAGACCGCTCCCTTCTTGCCCACCCAGCGCCATCATCATCATCCCAGTCTCCTCATCGTCAATACTCAGGCCAGAAATGACCGTCGAAAGCCGATATTGCGAGTCGCCGTCCAACCCTTCCTCCATTTCAAAGTCTTCATCACCAACCCTTTCGCCAATGTTATAATCCTTGATTTCGATGACCTGGCCATAGTCTTCGGTATGTCCCCCCTCGGTCTCGCCTCGCATGGAATAGAAGCGACTCGTCTCCTTGGCGCGATCGTCCGACTGGTACGTGTCATATCTCTTCATATCCTTCTTGGAAAGAGCCAATGGGGTTGAATTAGATGGCGCAATGTCGGCAGAAGGAGAGGGTTGGAGATCGGAAACGGTGGCAAAGGCGTCCATGATGGTGTGCGCATATAGCGAACTCCAAGGCGAGCCTTCCCCCTTTAATCTCATCGGTCTCCTTGAAGTACTGGCGCTCGGAACATTGGATGAATTTTCGTCGCCGGAGACGATCGGCACACACATGGTTGGATCGACGGCGTCAAATTTGGAATGACCAGGAGGACTATTGTGAACAAGGTTCAAATGCACATTCAGTCTCCTCTTCTTCCTCGGTCTCCCTTCCTCCATGTCGTCATCCTCTTCCGGTAGCTCCTGAGCTTGTTGGTCTTCCTGGCTGGCCGGCCTCCTCTGGTCGCATTCGGCAGCCACTGAACGGATAAACGCGAGGTACTTCTTCATGCCGCCTTGTATCTCGCCCACCGTCTTCTCCAATCCTTCATCCTCCTCAAACAACGGTCGTAGCGTTTCCACTGGGTCGACGGACACCACGACCAGCCGCCCTGGAAACAGCGTCGACCTCGCCTTGGCCTCGAGCACACCATTATCCTCGTCCTCTGTACTCAAATGGGGTGCATCGTCAGCTCTAGTACGTGTACACGAAACATCATATTCCATTTTTCTCTGCTTTTTTCTTCTGGAAGTGTACTTGAAGAAGACGCGTCAAGATT